TCATACCTGTCCTGCAATATCCAGTGACCTCCACAGTAAATAGACCATTTAAACATAAAGCCTTTCATTTTAATATTCTGCCCTTGCCCGGCCCGGTGGCGCACTGGATAGTGCGCCACTTGGGAGGCGCGGCAGCGCTCCCGCCCGAGGGTTCGGATCCCACATACAGACCGGTTCCCGCTCACTGGCTGAGCGAGGCGCGGGAGCAGCGCCGAGGGTTGCGATCCCGTTGCCGGTCCCGGTCCGGTGCGGGGGTGACACTGAAGGTTGCGATCCGTTGCCGGACACGGAAAAAGACAAAAAATATATATATATATTCTGCCCTTGCACAGTGTTAGTTGAGTGAATAACTATAAAACACTGGGCAATTAGCATGCTTTAATTAGGCTCAATATATATATATATTCTGCCCTTGCATAGTGTTAGTTGAGTGAATAACTATAAAACACTGGGCAATTAGCATGCTTTAATTAGGCTCAATGTGTGTATACAGAGAGTATGTTGGTTCAAAGGGATTTGACAGCTAGGTCCTCTACTGCAGGATGAGGAGGAAGTGTGATGGTCAACCATGGAGCTTCTGAGCCCCCAAGAGGTGGGAAGATGACTACATCTTGGCAACAAACCCCCAGACTCCCAAATAGGAAGAAGCTGGAAAGACCAATTCTCTTGCACCAACCACCCCCACCTCCCTGCCACCAGCAACTACAGCATGGACCTGTAAACTAGATCCGGCCACTGGGCATTTCCACCTGGGTCACAGAGCCTGAACAGGAGATGCAGAAAGGTGACAGGAGCATCCAGTTTCCAAAGGTAGTTATACATGGCCCTTTCTTCTCTCCCCATCTGCCAAACCTAGTTCTCCAGACATTTTAGCAATTGTTTCAGACTTGGTATCCTAAATTCAGGGTCTTAACAGAACTGTTACTTACAATCAAGAACCCTGACAGCTACAAGGGCATTCAGCAAGATTTGAGGAAGAAATACAAAGAATTTGCCTTGTAAGGACAGACTCCCACTGGGTAAAATCTTAGTCTTCAGATCTTACTAGCACTGACATCCTGCCAAACGGTAGTGGGGACATCATAGCTGACACTGGACAAAGTGACCCTGATGAAGTTCCAGGATGTGTTCACCTCTCTGTGCATGGGAAGCTAGGGACCCTCAATCACCCACATCCCAGGACTGCTGAAGCCTAACCTCAGAGGAGAAAAGGGTCAAGAAGCAGCACCTTCTCTGATGCTGCTCCCACTGGGCTTAAGTAGGGAGTATACTGACCCTAAAGGAAGCCTCCAAAGAATGCCAAGGACAAATTTCCACAGTGCAAGATCCTATTAGAAACAAAAGTTGCCAGGATGCAAGAAGATGAATACTTAGAAAGGTGGAGAAAATCTTTTACTTTGGTCTTAAGAAGTAGCTGAGGGTAAAATAAATCACATATCTGAAGCTAACTTCAGGATGAAACAAGGCTTCTCCCAGCTACCTGCAGATTGTGTGGCATGAAACAGCTGCAAATCCTAATGAGGTTAATTACAATGGCAAAAAAGAAAGAAAAACCTCTTAGCTTACTTGCCTAATGTTAAAAGGCTGTTTATAGTTAAAACTATGGCTTGGTATTCTGCTTAATTATGTTGTAAAAGAGTGACTTTTATCAAGAGGGCAGAAAATAAACAGCTTAATTCCCTGATTGTTCTGGCTGTAAACCAAATATGTCAGTGCATGAATGTTGATTACTCTGGCAATAGATATTAACATTGCCCTTCGTAAGGAAACATCAATTCGGTATTTATGAACACCAACCTCATTACACATTTTTTTCTGTTTTAATGGGCTGTAGGAACGACATTATATAAACTCTGTCTCGATTACCTATATTAAATCAAATTTGCAGCAGCCAAGCCACTACTGAGAAATAGATATTATTTTTCTCCATCTCTCCACTAGGCAGTATATAGGTTCTGCATGGCTAGGGACCACATCTGTTTAGCTCACGGCTGTGCCCCCAATACCTAGCAAGGTGCCTGCACACAGCAGGCATTCAGGAAATGCTCACTGAGTACATGTGGCCTGGGAAGGGTGGTGGCCAGTGCATGACTTGTATTTACTGTCAAAGCTGTATTAATTTCTTAAGACTGTGGATATCAGAGTCTGTTAAAGCCATACTGGCCAAAAGGAATTTAAAGCTCAGCCAGAATAAACTAACACTAAGCTAAATTAGGAAATCAAGATAAAACCCTATCAGGAAACACCAAAGGAGAGAAGTTTAAAGCACATCGAGGAGAACCATCGTGGGTAGAGGCAATGGGGTCAAAAAAATAGCAAATTTTGCCGGCCCGGTGGCGCACTGCGCTAGTGCGCCACTTGGGGAAGCGTGGAGGCGCTCCCGCCGAGGGTTCGGATCCCACATACAGACCGGTTCCCGCTCACTGGCTGAGCGAGGCGCGGGGGCAACACCGAGGGTTGCGATCCGTTGCCGGACATGGAAAAAGACAAAAAAAAAAAAAAAAAGCAAATTTTGAGGGCTGGCAGGATAGTTCAGTTGGTTAGAGAGTGGTCTTGATAGCACCAACGTCCACGGTTCAATCCCTGTTCCAGGCAGGCACAAAAAAAAAAAAAAAAAGCAAATTTTGAGGGCTGGCAGGATAGTTCAGTTGGTTAGAGAGTGGTCTTGATAGCACCAACGTCCACGGTTCAATCCCTGTTCCAGGCAGGCACAAAAAAAAAAAAAAAAAGCAAATTTTGAGGGCTGGCAGGATAGTTCAGTTGGTTAGAGAGTGGTCTTGATAGCACCAACGTCCACGGTTCAATCCCTGTTCCAGGCAGGCACAAAAAAAAAAAAAAAAAGCAAATTTTGAGGGCTGGCAGGATAGTTCAGTTGGTTAGAGAGTGGTCTTGATAGCACCAACGTCCACGGTTCAATCCCTGTTCCAGGCAGGCACAAAAAAAAAAAAAAAAAAGCAAGTTTCTCATAACTATTGTCAAAAACAACTACATTATACCAAGGTCAAGGGTTCAGTTCCCCGTACTGGCCAGCCACCAAAAATTTAAAAAGCTGCATCACCCAGACTTTGAAACCTAGACATTGAAGTGGCCAACTTGTCCGGAAGAGATTCAGTGCCCTGGACTTCCTTTGTATTGAAATCTCATTTCTGGTTATTAGGCAATTGGCTAGAAAGGTATGGGCTTTCTAGGCAGACACGGGTTCAAACCCCAGCTCTGAGCACACACTTAGCTGTGTATATTGAACTGTTACTTCATCTCTGTAAGCCTTTGCATTTTGTTATCCACATTCTGGGAGTGTTGAAAACATTAAATTAGGTAATAGGTGTGAAGTACCTTGCATAAATGCCTGGGACAAATACTTATTATTTATTTATTAAGAACAGACATAATAAATGCACCAGTCCTGTAGGTAAGTCCCGGATTTAGAAGATGAGTTCACAACAGCCTCCTTCTGACCTCAACGAGCCTGCTAACTGCAGTGCCACCACGAGGTTCTGTGTCACAGGCATGAATGCCTACTCCTGCCCTGCTCTAGCAAGTGTGCACCCTGGTCATCAACCAGCATCTGCCACCTGACCCCAGAGAAGTTTAGGAGAAGCCCATGGGACCTATCCTGGAGTTCTTTTGGCCTGAGAAATCCGGAACCCTCCTTGTGGCAGTTTGTCTGCAGCACCAAGTAGTGGCATGTGGAGAGAATGCTTTGGGTTTTAAGGTAAAGTGAAATGTTTCATAGTAGCATCATTTATCAACTTTCTTCTTTATCCATTGCTTCAACACCTAGCTGCAAATTAGAATCACCTGAGCAGATTTTAAAATTCGACCTGCCCTGTCCCAGCCTAGACCAATTGAATCAGACCCTCTGGGGAGATGGAGCCCAGGTATTGTAGTTTTAAAAGCTCTCCAGGTGATTCTAATAGGTAACTAGGTTGCAAAACAGTGTTTTAATCCGCTGGGACTCCTAGACCACAATCATTTTTAATTTTTTTGTAATCAATTTTTTTTTTCTGGTGTTTGGCCAAGACAGGGATCCAAACCTTGCCCTTGGTGTTATCAGCACCACACTCTCCCAAGTGAGCTAACCGGACAAAAACACAAATCTAGAGAATGTGTAAGTAAGAACAGCTGAAGAGAAATGATTGCCAATATATCTATAGTACTTTAGCTTTCAAAGCACTTTTATAAAGATTATGTCATCAAATCCTAGCAACCTCTGACAACAATGGGATCATCCCATTTTAGAGATGACGTGAATGAGGGAGGTCTGCAAGGTTAAGCAACTTTGCCCAAGGTCACAGAAGTAGGAAGTGGCAGGGCCTGAATTCAGGCCACTCACCTGAAAATGTGTCTTCTCACCACCCTGCCATCCCATCGCGCCTCCCCCACTCCTGTGCACAGCACTGGGTCCAGGCTGGGCACTATGAAAACATGTCTTCGACTGGATGGAAAATTAATTCACCCACAGATAAGAGAAGCAGGGCAGTACTTGGGTTCTGTGACCATGGGTTCTGTGACCATGGGCAAGGGCCTAAATATCTGATTCCCTGTCTGTAAGGTGGTTTAAGACAGAAATCTACCTCAGGGCTGGCCTGGAGGGTGAGGTGAGATCATGCATCTAAATGTTAGCAATGATGAATACTGCCTATGAGAGAAGAAATCTTTATGCACAGAGAGTTCTGGAGTGATGCTACCTGTGTTTGTATCTCACAAGACGCAGGTGAATCTAGACAAGGAACTTAATCTCACCGAGCCTCAGTTTCCTCACCTGTAAAAGGGGGATGATAACAGTTGCTATCTAGAGGGTTGTTGCAAGAATTAAATGAAGTAATACACCCAACAGTGATAGTTATATAAGTGACAGCATTGGCTGGCCTAAAGAAAGTTCTCAATCAGTGCCAAGTATCATCATGGTTACACTGAAACTTAGTGGCCCAAGTCTCCCTGAAGGCAGATGGGAGGGAGGCAGGAAGATGGGTGAGGGGAGACATAGAGAAACTGGTCACCTGGCTTGAGTTTTCCATCCTTAGCTGCAGCCCCCTTCTTGATGAGGTGGGTAATCTGAAGGTATGGCCCATGCTGGATAATGATCAGGCCTAATCCCAGGCTGCCCACGGTGAGTCTGGTCTGCTTTGTTTTGCTCAAGTTGTGTACAGATGTCTTGACCTCCTTGAAGCTGACTTGTCTTTCTAATAGAAAAAGGGGAACCTGTATCAGTCCCTCACCAAGACAGCAGCATGGCAGTGGTCACTGGGGTTCTGAAGCCAGACCCCTGGCTTAACAGGTGACTGTTAAAGGGCTTTTGCACAGAGTCTGGCATATCGTGACTGCTTAATCAATATTAGTTATCATTATTATCCATTCACTTAACAGATATTTATTGATGCAGGCAGTGTGCTAGGCCCTGGCTGAGCAAAACAGTGGAGGCGACAGGTATCAATCAGTCATGTAAATATTCTCTGGATTACAATTTATAACACGTGCTATGAAGGAAAAGGGCAGAGAGCTGTGAGGGTGAACAGGGGCCCAGGTCTCACCTGAGGATGGTCGTCAAGCTTCCCAGAACGGGTAAAATTTGAATTAAGGTGGAAAGGACCCGTGGGAAGTATTTAGGCAAAGGAGGGCGGGCAGGAGTAAGCCGCATTGGGGTCTGAGACGGGATGGAGCGTGCCCTGTCAAGAGAAAGTGCAGGACTCCAGTGACGGTGGCTCAGGGGGAGCTCGGAGAGCAGGGGCCGGCAGACAGGAGTTGGTGCTTTGGGGTCTGAGACGGGATGGAGCGTGCCCTGTCAAGAGAAAGTGCAGGACACCAGTGACGGTGGCTCAGGGGGAGCTCGGAGAGCAGGGGCCGGCAGACAGGAGTTGGTGCTTGGGTTTCCCTGAATAAAAACGCTCAGCAGCAGTCTAAGCTGGGTATGATCAGATTTTCATTCAAAATTTTTTTTAAAATCTGCGGCTGCTGCGTGTGTGAATTGCAGGGTCCAGAGCGGACGCGGAAAATAACAAGTTATTTCCCTGGACACGCAAGTCACTCGAGCGTGTCCCGGCAGTGACCTGGAAATGGACAATAGATGGATCCAAAGAGCACTTGGGAGGAAAATCCTCGGGACAACGGAAAGTGGGAGGGGTTGAAATAGGTTTTCTCACAATCAAATCTCCCAAGAAAAGTTTCGAGGACTGAGGAGTGATCTAAACCAGGTTGTTTTCCCGAGAGGACGCTCCAGGGCGATCCGTGTTCCAAGCGCCACAGCGGGGACCCGCCAGCCGCCGGAAGAGGAAGAAGGAAAGTCAGCAGCGTCAGGGGAAAGAAACCAGACTCTAACGCCCCCGTGTGTGATCCCGCTTCTATGACGTTCTCCATGGAAAAGGCACTACAGAAAACAGGTGGAGGTGGGGGTGCGGGTGGCTGCGGAGGGGCAGCCACGGGGTAATTTGGGGGTGGCGGCGCTGTCCCCTGTCTTGATTGTGGCTCCACGTGGACAAACACTTGTCAAAACTCATACAGCTGGGATCGGAAGTTACACCGTGATGAACAAACGATGGCGGGAGGCTGTCACCCGGGCAAGTCTGTGACATTGCCGATTTAATAGAGGAGGGAAACTGAGGGCGCCGCCCTCCCCACCCCCCACTCCCCAGTTACCATTTGTGCTTTTATGGGGCGCCTTCTCCATGGCCCCGGGAGGGCGGGCGGCTCCGCCTCCCAACAGTTCCGAACCTTCGAGGAGCCGGCTCACGGACAGCCGACCGCAGGCGACGAGGACCCGGGCCGCGGCAAGGAGGCATCGGGATGGTCGCCAGGGGGCGCTGCGCGACGGCGCCCGAGGCTGGGGCGGCGCGTCCCACCCAGGGCGGGGCTGGATCCCGGAGGACGCGGCGCGCGAGCTGACTCCGCGGGGATCGGCAGGTGCCCGACGCAGGTGGGCCCTTCACTCGTTCCTGCTGAACCACCGAAATGGGGGAGAGGGGGGGACAGCCTAGAGGAGAGGGTCTCACTGATGCGAGCCAGTCAGCTCGCTCATTGAAAGCATGTTGAATGTCCTCAACACAAAGAAGTGACAAATGCTTGGGGTGATGGATGTGCTAAACACCCTGATATGATCAATGCACACTGCGTAAATGTACCCAAATATCACGTTATACTCCGTAAATATGTAGTTATGGGTCATTTAAGAAAAAATAAATTATTGGGCCAGCCTGGTGGCGCACTGGAGAGTGCGCCGCTTGGGAGTGCAGCGGCGCTCCCGCCGAGAGTTCGGATCCCATGTGGAGACCGGTTCCCGCTCACTGGCTGAGCGCGTTGCGACCGCAACACCGAGGGTTGCGATTCTGTTACTGGTCAGTAAAAAAAACAAAAAAGGAAAAAAGAAAAAAAGAAACAATAAATTATTGGGCTGGCGGATTAGCTCAGTTGGGTAGAGCGTGGTGCTGATGACACCAAGGTCCAGGATTGGGATCCCTTACTGGCCAGACGCCAAAAAAAAGAAATTATAGGGCCGGCCCGTGGCTCATTCGGGAGAGTGCGGTGCTGATAACACCAAGGCCGTGGGTTCAGATCCCATATAGGGATGGCCGGTTAGCTCACTGGGTGAGCGTGGTGCTGACAACACCAAGCCAAGGATTAAGATCCCCTTACCGGTCATCTTTAAAAAAAAAAAAAAAAGAAAGAAATTATAAAGAGGAAAAAAACTTTCAGAGACATAAGTAGATTAGAGGTTACTAGGAACTGGGGAGAAGAAGTAATGGAAAGAAATTATAAAGAGGAAAAAACTTTCAGAGACATAAGTAGATTAGAGGTTACTAGGAACTGGGGAGAAGAAGTAATGAGAAATTATTGCTTAATGAATACAGAGTTCATGTTTAGGACGGTGAAAGGTTTTGGACATAGATAAAGGTGGCGGTCACACAGCATTGTGAATGTAATTAGTTCCACACAATTGTACGTTTAAAAATGCCTAAAATGGCAATCCTTATATATACTTTACCACAATAAAATATATATATATTAACCTAATATCTAGAAACCCTGTTAAATTTATCTATTAGTTCTAGTAGCTATTTGGTAGATTCTGTAAAATTTTCCTCAGTCATGTCTGTAAACAAAGATAGTTTTAATTTTTGCTTTCAAAAAACAAAAACAATAAAACAGAGATGTGAGGCAGTTTGCAGAGGAAGATCATAGCTGGAAGACCATAGAAGATCACAGAATACCTAGATCTAGAATCCCCTGCTGCACTCCCAATAATGGTGTTTTAAATATTGTTGCATCAAAGCTCCAACTACTTTGGAACTGTTTTTTTCATGGATGTTTTGAATGAGAAAAGGCCAAGGATGGCCTGAAAAAAAAGAGTCACTATTAGGAAAGGAATTAATGCCTCCTTCTTTTTTCCAAAATACTCCTGCCTCCCACACACATTCACTCATACAACAAATATTTACTGGAAGCCACTCTGTGGCTTGTGCTGTTGCTGGGGACACAACAGTAGACAACACAAACAAGGGCTCTGTCCTCTTGGAACAATTTAAGTGGACAATTTTAGGAAAATATAAATTATCAAAAACATTCTAGAAGAACAAGAATACAACATCATAAGGTAGGTCCTGTTTTGATCCCAACTGGTGAAATTGAGGTTAAGCACCTTGCCCCAGGGCGTTCATGCCTTGGACAAATAGTAATCGAGCACCTGTTAGGCATCAGGCACTGTGCAAAGATTTCCATGGTAAACCTGGGTAGGTCCCAGCTAATTTTGCTGTTTCTGTGCTTCTACCCAGACTACAAACCAGGGCAGATTTCTTGTAGGATAAATCCTGTGCCGCAGAGGCTGACACAAGGGCTGCTCTCACCTGGCTGCTCTCAACTTCAAGGAGTTGCCTGCTGGTGGTTTCTTGTGATAGGTCACCTGTTTCCTCTTCCAACAGTCTGGCGGGCATCTACCCAGGAACCAAATTAATTCTATCATAAAACACATCCTTTTCCTCCATCTTCCTATCCGTAGGGGAACAGCGAGAGTTGGTGGGGATAAAGCCTATCAGCATTTGAGTCTCTCTGGGTGGAGCATATCCCTCCATCCCAGGCTGAGAAATTTCTTTCTTTTTTTTTTTTCCTGACCGGTAAGGGGACCACAACCCTCGGCACAGTGTCGACCGCACCACGCTCAGCCAGTGAGTGCACCGGCCATCCCTATATAGGATCCAAATCCACAGCCTCGGCGCTACCAGCACCGCACTCTACCGAGTGAGCCACGGGGCCGGCCCCAGGCTGAGAAATTTCTTTCTTTTTTTTTTTTCCTGACCAGTAAGGGGACCACAACCCTCAGCACAGTGTCGACCGCACCACGCTCAGCCAGTGAGTGCACCGGCCATCCCTATATAGGATCCAAATCCACAGCCTCGGGGCTACCAGCACCGCACTCTACCGAGTGAGCCACGGGGCCGGCCCCAGGCTGAGAAATTTCTTCAGAGCAGATGCCAAAGTCACACTGATTAATGGAATTGCAGGATACAAACTATGGTGTATACTGTGCTTCCCAGATCCCCCTCAGGACTGAGGGACTTATACCTGCCCCTCAACCCACTCCTGCTGCTGGCTAAAGAGAGCCACTTGCCTAAGATCACACCTTCCCAGGGCAGCTAGTGTCCAAGCAGGGTTGCCATCCCAGCTTCAGAGCTCCCCACTGAGGCTGTGCGGGGGTGGCGGCGGGGCACCGCAGCCTGACCTCTCTCTGCCCAGTCCTGCTTCCTCCCTTTCCCCACAGACATGGGTCCCAAAAGAACTCCCCAAATAAACTCCTTGCAACTCAGAATCTGTTTTCTAGAGAACCTAGGCCATGGTAGCTAGTGCTAGAGATGATCTGAAAGACTACATGCTAAAATAGGATTTTGGAACCAGATCCCTCAATGCCCAGGTGATAATGAGGATCCCATCCCTGGCAGAGGAGGAGCATAGGTGGCCACTGGTACAGGGAAGCTCTAAGATTGCTAAATTTTTTACTGGTAGTTAATAGGATGGTGTACCAGGGGAAGGAAATGTGCTAGCAGGTGTCATGTTATCAGACATTCCTTTGCCATGGAAAGAGCAGGCAAGAGTAATCACCAGGAAGGAAGCAGACTGCTACTACACATAGGGGCAGGGACTCTTACGTGTCTCTTAGTACTCCCTTGACCAGCAGTCACAGCCTGGGAATTGCTTGGCAACCAGGAGCTCAAACTCTTCAAGGGTGAAGGTCCAGGCCACACCATGTAAGCCACCTAACCCATCAGAGGTGCTAGCAGAGGGTGAGAGGGATCTAGGATGGACAGGAGAAGAGAGAAATGGGATACCAGTTATGCCTTAAGACGAGCTGCAGCAGCAGTGGGAGCTGTAGCTTGTCCCACTAACCTTCCTCTTATAAATTTCTCACAGGAAAAGATGCCCACCGGGGTCCTGAAGGTGCAGCCCTCAGAATTTAAAAGGAGCAAATGACCTGCACAGCACCATGGGGGTCCAGCTACAAATATGGCTCTGCACTGCCTCAGCCCCTCCCCAGGACTGAAGGACTGTTCCCAAGCTACTGGGAGGGTTGTAGGTTGACAGATCTCAGCTGTCAGCCCTTTTGAGGAATTGTCCTTGGCTGAAGAGAGCTGCCTTCCCCAAGGTCACACCCCATTCCTAAGGTGCAGGGATATAAATGCTTGGCCCTTTTATCCCAATTAGCACAACTCAGAATGGCCATCCCAGCTTCAGAGCTCCCCTCGGCTCTGCCAAAGCCTCCTGTGACTGCACCAGAGCCAGACTTCTTCCTCTGCCCAATCCTGCTTTCTCCCCTTCCCCAATAGGAGCTGCCCCTCAGAGACTCTCTAATAAGCTTCCTGCACACTGATCAATAATCTCGTCTCCAAGTCAGCTCAAAGGAACCCATCTGTGCGATAAACCGTGATTTGAGCCCTGGGCACGAGCTGCTAACCTTTGAATTTAGCTCTTCAGCCTTTAACCCCAGAAACCCCAGGTACACGTGTGGGGTATCCACCACACACTTGGCCCACGTGGTAAACTTGACCCCCAGGGAGGCACTGTGTCCTTTATCCTGTCAGACCAAAGATACTCCTTAAAGAGAAGAGTGATCACATGGTGCCTCCCATAGCTCTCCCCAACGTCCCATCTGGATTCAGCCTCTTCTGGTCTGAGGCCCACCATCCATCACAATAAGACATGCCACGTTCACAGCCCTTTGACAGCTGTAGAGTAGCTATTTATGACTTCAGGCTGCCAGCATAGCTCCCTCCTGGAGGCCTTCTATTTTCTTCTGGGTCCCCAAGGACTTTCTGCCATAAGGAGCCTTGTGGCTCATTTCTGAATAGAAAAGTCCCAGCTGCTTTGCTTAGGGGTGAAAGGATGGGATGTTTCTATCACTGAGACAGAGTGACCCTGGGAGCCTGTTAGGTCAGATGGGGGAAAGAGGCCCAGAGAGGTGACATGACCTTCCCAAGGTCAAGTCAGTAGCAGGGCTGGGACTAGAACATAGTTCTGTATTCTTTTCTTGTATTCTCCAACACACCACACCTCCAAACCCCTAGAGTTTGCCTCTACTGAAATCTAGACTGAAACATAGAGAAGAAGGGAACTGATCTGTCCTGTAGATCTCAGAGACTTTAGACTCTGAAACATCAGGTATGTTGGAAAGCCAGAATAAGAAGT